TTTAAATCACTATATAAAAGCAAGATACATCATACTGTTGGGGTTTCAGTAGAACCATTACCAATCCTGGCATTTAGATTTCTTATATGATGTTTGTTAGCTAATAGGTATGGTAAGTGACTATATAGAGCTCTAAAATTGGGGCCAGAACTCTAAAAGCTCTACCTCAACGGAGGAATATATACTTTGAGACCTACCTGGTCTGTTTGTAGAAGGGAGGACTTGAGAGGGTTAAGTTCTTACTGTATTTGCTTGGTTACTTAGAAATTGTTCCTCTGATGTTTTTTGAGGGTAATATGATCAGCTGACTCTTGCCTCTAGTTACATTGCCTCAAAGGAGCCTAAGCCATAAATGTGAGGTAATTCATTTTTTAAAATCTAAATCTCTGTTAACACATGAGGACAAGTCCCAAACCTAAAACTACCGCATCAGAGTTTTATGTTCAGGTCTCCCTCTTGCAGTATTCTAAAGCAGGCCTTTCAGAACTTGTGGGTTCTATAAACGCTTAGGTCAAAGAAAATGCAGTTCTCTGCTTTCTGAAACAGAAATTAATAGGCCTGTTTCATGTCAGATGAGGTACAATATGACTGAGAAATTCCTTTCAGTGGAAGAACTCACAGGCTTCCTTAATTAACCTTCAGTGGCGAGAGGTGATGGTATTTTATAATTGGAGCAAGGGAAATGAGAGGTGAGTGGAGTTGTGAACAAAAAGGGGATTCGGATTCTATCATATCAGGAGTCAAAGGAGACAGCATCTTTGACTTTAAGGGTGAAAATTGGAGAAGTAAGTTTTCCTAATGTAACAAATTCCCAATCAAGTAGTAAAAACCTTTCACCTCGAGGACAATTCATCTTTTGAATCTTCTGTGGTTAGCATACAACCTCGAAAATACTTGATTTGTGCTCAGATAGTATTTGCACAAAAGGGGAAATTGATTTTTAAAATTACACAGATAAGAATGAATGTGATTATTTATTTAATGCCTGTTTTCCCCAGGGAACTCCAAGTTCCATGAGGTCCGGGGTCATTTTGTAAATACTATATCTGCAGTACCTGGCACACAGTAGATAAGCCATAAATATTTGTTGAATAAACAAACAGAATATAGATATTAGGTACAGGTCCATTACAGGTCCATTTAAGTTTGTTTTGCAAGTACTCTGGCTTACCGAGAATACAGAGTGACTATACCAAAAAGAATTGATCGACGTTCAACCATTTCAGGAGGTAGCGTATGATCAGGAACCAATGGCACTGAAGGAAGAGGTCCAAGCTGCACTGAAAGCATTGGGGAAAAACAAGCTTCCAGGAATTAACAAAATACCAATTAAGATGTTTCAACAAACGGATGCTGTGCTGGAAGCTCTCACTTGTCTATGCCAAGAAATTTGGAAGACAGCTACCTGGCCAACTGATTGGAAGAGATCCGTATTTATGCCTATTCCAAAGAAAGGTGATCCAACTGAATGCAGAAATTATTGACAATATCATTAATATCACATGCAAGTAAAATTTTGCTAAAGATCATTCAAAAGCAGCTGCAGCAGTACACTGACAGGGAACTGCCAGAAATTCAAGTTGGATTCAGAAAAGGACGTGGAATGAGGATATCAGAGCTGATGTCAGATACATCCTGGCTGAAAACAGAGAATACCAGAAAGATACTTATCTGTGTTTTATTGACTATGCAAATGCATTCAACAGTGTGGATCATAACAAATTGTGGATAACATTGCAAAGAATGGGAATTCCAGAACAATTAATTGTGCTCATGAGGAACCTGTACGTAGATTAAGACGGTTGTTCAAACAGAACAAGGGGATACTGGGTGGTTTAAAGTCAGGAAAGGTGTGGGTCACGGCTGTATCCCTTCACCATACTTATTCAATCTGTATGCTGGGCAAATAATCTGAGAAGCTGAACTCTAGAACCATATGGACTATGTGGGGCTTCAGGACTGGAGGAAGACTCACTAATAACCTGCAATATACAGATGACACAACCTTGCTTGCTGAAAGTGAAAAGGACTTAGAGCACTTACTGATGAAAATCAAAGACCACAGCCTTCAGTACGGATTACACCTCAACACAAAGAAAACAAAAATCCTCCCAACTGGACTAATAAGCAATATTATGATAAACAGACAAAAGATTGAAGTTGTCAAGGATTTCATTTTACTTGGCTCCATAATCAACACCCATGGAAGGAGCAGTCAAGAAATCAAATGATGCATTGCATTGGGCAAATCTGCTGCAAAAGACCTCTTTAAAGTGTCAAAAGCAAAAATGTCACCTTAAAGACTAAGGTGCGTCTGACCCAAGTCAAGGTGTTTTTAATAGCCTCGTATGCATGCAAAAGCTGGACAATGAATAAGGAAGACCCAAGAAGAATCAACACCTTTGAATTATGGTGTTGGCAAAGAATATCGAATATACCATAGACTGCCAAAAGAATGAACAAATCTGTCTTGGAAGAAGTACAGCTCCTTAGAAGCAAGGATGGCCAGACTATGTCTCACATACTTTGGACATGTTATCAAGAGGGATCAGTCCCTGGAGAAGGACATCATGCTTGGTAAAGTAGAGGGTCAGCAAAAAAGAGGAAGACCCTCAATGAGATGGATTGACACAGTGGGTGCACCAGTGGGCTCAAGCATAATGATTGTGAGGATGGCATAGGACAAGGCAGTGTTTCTTTCCATTGCACATAGGGTCGCTATGAGTCGGAACCAACTCGACAGCACCTAACAGCAGCAACTGGCCTACCCTGAATGCCAACCTCATTTTTCTAGGTAATCGTATGAAGGAAATTAGGAAGCCTTATTCAACCATCTGGAAACCCTGGTGGTGTAGTAGTTAACAGCTATGGCTGCTAACCAAAAGGTCAGCAGTCTGAATCCACCAGGTGCTTCTTGGAAACTCTATGGGGTAGTTCTACTCTGTCCTTTAGGGTCGCTATGAGTCAGAATCGACTCCACGGCACTGGGTTTATTCAACCATCTTATGATATACAGGGTTCTTATTTTGTAAGGGTGTGAATTTAATATAGTCAGAAAATTTTCCTGGTTTCTGGGGCTCTTGTCAGACATTGGTCAGCAGTTCAAATCCACCAGTCGCTCCTTAGAAACCACATGGGGCAGTTCTACTCTGTTCTATAGGGTCTCTATGAGTCGGAATCGACTCGACGGCAACAGGTTGTCAAACATTGGTTGAGTGAAGGACAATTCGCCTGTACCGTGTTTGGGCCTAGTCTTACTACCTTACTTACCTTTAGGTAGCATGATGCCTTCAGGGAATGTGAGGAGATCGTGCGGTTCTTCTGAGTTACTCGGTCATTATGGTTTCCTCCCTTTTCCTTTTCACAGAATGAAGTAGCCTGAAATAAAGCTTCAAGAACATGTCTTGGGCAAGGTAATATGGCTTTACTTGTAAATAGTTTGTTTTCTTTGTAAGAACTAAGATGTTTCTTAAATAGGTTTTAGTCAAAATTTATAGTCTTCTCGGTCAACGTCCTCTGTCATCTGAACTTTGACGGTCTAATTAACTTTCTTTTTCCCTGTTTTCCTTCATGCTGTTGGAAGACCTGTTTTCTTGTTTGACACAATTACACCATGCTTTTGCTTTTTTCTTTATGTCTGACAAACAAAAAGAGCTCTTTTTGGCTCTTTTATAAATCCTGCCGATTCTTGGAGCTCCACCTCATGTCTAAGACTTTCCATGAGGCTTTTCTTAATAAATCTGTCAAATTAAACAACTGGTATTTGGTAGTTCAGTGGCAGAATTCTCGTCTTCCTTGCAGGAGACTCAGATTCAATTCCCTGCCAATGTACCTCATGCACAACCACCACCTAGCTGCCAGTGGAGGCTTGCATGTTACTATAATGCTGAGCTTCTAGACTAAGATGGGCTAGGAAGAAAGGTCTGGCAATCTACTTCCAAAAATCAGCCAATTTTAAAAAAATCCTATGGATCACAACAGTCTGATCCACAACCCATCATAGGAATGGCACAGGGCCAGGCAACATTCATTCCATTGAATACCAGAATACCAGAAAGATGTTTACCTTGACCATGAGTCAAAGTCCAGCTCCACAGCAACTAACAACAACAATAACATATCTTTGCCATAAAAATGTCACCCGTAGAACCCTTGGCATGAAGGAATTAACAGTAGTATCCTCAGCTACTGCATGAGAAAAGTTTAATGGTGTTACACAAAAAGTGTCATGAGCCTTTGCTTATGTGGGATTCATGTTCAATTTGGACTCTGCCTTAGTTATCTAGTGCTGCTATAACAGAAATATCATGAGTGAATGGCTTTAACAAACAGAAATTTATTCTCTCACAATTTAGGAGGCTAGAAGTCCAAATTCAGGGTGCCAGCTCCAAAGAAAGGCTTTCTCTCTCTATCGGGTCTGGGGGAAGGTCTTCCCCTGGTAAAGGAACTTCTCAGCGCAGGGACCCCAGGGCCAAAGGATGCTCTCCACTCCTGGCTCTTCTTGTCTGATGGTATGAGGTTCCACTCCCCTCTGCTCCGTTCTCTCTTTTATATGTCAAAAAACATTGACTCAAGATACAACCTAATTCTGTAATTGAGTCCTGTCTTATTAACATAACAGCCTCTAATCCTGCCTCATTAATATCCTAGAGGTTAGGATTTACAACACGTCAGATCACAAACTGGAGGACAACAATACTGGGGATCATAGTCTAGTCAAGTTGACATGCATTTTGGGGGGACACAATTCAATCCATAACAGATTCCAAGCAGGAAGACCCCTCCCACCCAGAAGGATTTTCTCTCATACTCACAGATGAACAGCCAGAAGAACAGATGATCAATTCCAACGGGGAGAGTGCTAACCCAGAACATTCAGGTTAGAAAGACCAAGCTGCAGAATTACCTAGTCATTCTCAGCTTCAAGGAGTAAAGACTCTTATGTACCTGTACAATGGGAATGATACAGTTTATTTCTCAGAGTTTTCTTTTTTCTTTTTGCCAATTTTAAATACAGTTTTATTTAAGACATTGCATTTTCCACTTACGATACGATGCTAGTAAACTGCAGTGTTGACTTCTTTTCTCTATGCATATCCCATATTCAAGTATTGAGAAAACCCAGAAATTTAGTATAGCAGTGTAACTTCTAAAACTGCCACTGAGTGTACTACAAATTTGGGTCCTTCAATTTTTTACTGTGGAACAATGCTAAGGTATCTCTGCTCAGAGATTGGCTTAATCAACTTCTTCAGTGGTGGGTCCAGAAGAGGCACCACCAGATGGAGGAGCTCCACCACCAGGGAAGCCCCCAGGCATTCCTCCAGGCATGCCTCCAGCACCCTGGTACAGCTTGGTAATGATGGAGTTGCAGACTTTCTCCAGCTCTTTCTGCTGATGTTCAAATTCTTCCTTCTCTGCCGTCTGATTCTTATCAAGCCAGTTGATAATTTCATTACACTCGTCAGGAATCTTCTGTTTGTCCTCATCATTGATCTTGCCTTGAAGTTTTTCATCTTCAACTGTTGCCTTCATGTTGAATGCATAAGATTCAAGCAAATTCTTAGAGGACACCTTGTCCCTCTGTTTCTCATCTTCAGCTTTGTACTTTTCAGCTTCCTGGACCGTACGCTCAATGTCTTCTTTACTCAAGTGGTCCTTGTCATTAGTGATGGTATTCTTGTTCTTTTTTCCAGTACTCTTATCCACAGCAGAGACGGTGAGGATACCATTGGCATCAATATCAAAAGCGACTTCAATCTGAGGAACACCATGGGGTGCAGGAGGTATGCCAGTAAGTTCAAACTTGCCAAGCAGGTCGTTATCCTTGGTCATGGCATGCTCGCCTTCATAAACCTGAATGAGCACACCAGGCTGGTTGTCAGAGTAGGTTGTGAAGGTCTGCGTCTGCTTGGTAGGAATGGTAGTATTGCGCTTGATCAGGACAGTCATGACTCCACCAGCAGTTTCAATACCAAGGGAGAGAGGAGTGACATCCAAGAGCAGCAAATCTTGAGCATTTTCAGATTTGTCTCCAGATAAGATTGCTGCCTGGACAGCTGCACTGTAAGCAACAGCCTCATCAGAGTTGATGCTCTTGTTCAATTCTTTTCTATTGAAGAAATCTTGAAGAAGTTTCTGAATCTTGGGAATACGGGTAGAACCACCCACCAGGACAGTGTCACGGATATGTGACTTGTCTAGCTTGGCGTCCCTAAAGGCTTTCTCTGCGGGGTCTGGGGTGCCACGAAATAGGTCAGCATTCAATGGTTCAAATTGGACACAGGTAATGGAGGTATAGAAGTCGATTCCTTTATAGAGAGAATCAATCTCAATATTGGCCTGGGTACTGGAAGATAGAGTGTACTTTGCACATTCACAAGCAGTGCAGAGGCTACAAACAGCTCTCTTGTTCTGACTGATGTCCTTCTTATGTTTGCACTTGAATTCAGCAATAAAATTGTTCACCATTCTGTTGTCAAAGTCTTCTCCACCTAAGTGGGTGTCTCCAACTGTAGATTTGACCTCGAAGATTCCATCTTCAATAGAGAGGATTGACACATCAAAAGTGCCACCTCCTAAGTAAAAAATCAGCACATTTCTTTCAGCACCAACCTTTTTGTCTAAGCCATAAAGAATAGCAGCAGCAGTTGGCTCGTTGGTGATTCTCAGTACATTGAGGCCAGCAATAGTTCCAGCATCTTTGGTAGCCTGATGCTGAGAGTCGTTAAAGTAGGCTGATACAGTGACAACAGCATTGGTAACAGTCTTTCTAAGGTAGGCTTCTGCAGTTTCCTTCATTTTTGTCAGAACCATAGATGACACCTTCTCCAGATAGAAACGTTTGGTCTCTCCCTTATGTTCTACTTGGACCGTGGACCTGCCTGCATCATTCACCACCATGAAGGGCCAATGCTTCATATCAGACTGGACAACTGCATCATCAAATCTTCATCCAATCAGACGTTTGGCATCGAACACTGTGTTAGTGGGATTCATTGCAACTTGATTCTTGGTGGCATCACCAGTCAATCGTTCGGTATCAGTAAAAGTGACATAGCTTGGGGTGGTTTGGTTGCCCTGATCAGCTGCAATTATCTCCACTTTTCCATGCTGGAAGGCACCCACACAGGAGTAGGTAGTGCCAAGATTAATGCCAACTGCAGATCCCTTAGACATGATTGCTCAGAGTAGGTCCCGGCTAGGTGACAAAATAAATGCAGTCTAGAGAGCTGCCGCGTGTTCAGTGAGCAGAGTTTGCTTTTTAATATATAGAGTAAATGAAATGAGATGTGTTGAAAATGTTTTGCAAAATACAAAAAGGAAGAGGGAAAGAAATTTACATTTATTGAGCGTTCACCAAGTGCCAGGCGGTGCATACAAAGCACCTAGCACAGGCATGTCTTCACTCTTAACATCTCTCTGCTCATTGCACTCTGTCTGGAGCCTCCAACTGAGCATTATTCTCTGAGTCTCTTCATCCTCTGCGTTCCTGTATGCATGGAAAGAGCTCCACACTTTAATACTCAGACCTGCTATTAAGGGTATTCGCTGCTGTTTCTCTAAATTTAAAGTGGTTTCAAAGGAACTTACCTAGCTCTTTTTTTTTTTTTTTTAATGACTTTACTGTAGCCACATTTTCAAAACTGGTATATCTGCTCTTTCCAAGGGGTGACTTTTCAATTAGTTGATTTTATTACATAGTATCTTTCTCAGTCTCATATAAAGAGTAGGAAGAATTGTCAATTCAAAGGGGAAAGTAGTTGCCCCAAGAAGAAACACCACTGAGCACAAGCCCTACCTGTGGTAGATCTCCTGAGGAGACACTAAATGAATCCCCAGACACAACTATGTGGTGAAGAACAATAGTCAATGCTAAAAGTATTTGTGTTCTTTTCATTCTGAGAAAAGGAATAAGGAGGAGAGCAAGTAATAATAGTGTGGAGTAGAAAACACAAGGACTGGGTTCAAATGTCATCGCACCACTTCCTGTTTGACGTTGGGCAAGTTACATAACCTTTTGCACCTTGATTTTGCTTATGAAATCCCACGTAATAATATCTAAGAGCTGTTGTGAAGATTAAATGACAAAAAAAATATGAAATTTAGCATAATAACTGACATATACGAATCATTCAATAAATATATATCCCTTTTTAAGAGCTTTATTTGTAATATGCAGACCATAGAAAGCTATAGATCTCTACTAATTTTGTCTAGAGGGAAAACTCTCTACAGAGAATTATAGTATTGACTGCATTTTTCATTTCCCCCAGATTAAAAAAGACCCTTTATATTTATCTTGAAAATACAGTATACTGCAAAAAGACAGTATAAAGCCAGTGTAACTGTAACCATATAATAACTGTCAGGTTCCAGTTCTTGTAAATGCTATTCTTGTAAGTACAGGCAGTCCCCAGAGTTAGGAACGAGATCCCTTCCTGTGTCTTTAAGTCGAATTTGCAGGTAAGTGGGAACAGGTGCAAACTGTTCTTATTTAGCCTTACTTTAGTGCAAGAAGAGCCTCAAAGGCTTTTCAATAGTTTAAAAGCTGCATGTGCAGCAGCTGAAGGTGATTGTGATGAAGAATTTGTTGCAAGTAGAGGTTGGTTCATTCGTTTCAAAGTGAGGACAAATTTACATAACATTAAAGGGCAAGTATGAGTTGTCCATAAATGTAAATCAGACATTCATAACCCCTGGGACTGCCTGTAGTTCTCCCTTGAATATAGCCATTTATATGCTTGACAGGTAGAGAATTGAACCCATCATCTCGTCTCACACAAACTGCTCCTTGTTCTGACTTCTTTATTTCTTTACATAACATCACCATTCTTCCAGTAAGTCATGCTTGAAACACTAATCATTTTTGACAACCATGTCTCCCTTCTTATCACATATTGATCTTACTTCCTCATTGTTTCCCCACCTCTCTCCATTTCTACAGCCACCACCCTAGTTTGAGCCTTCAGTATCTCTCACCCTTATTATTACAAAAATCTTCAGCCTGGTTTTCTTATCTCAAGTCTTTTTTTCCCCACCCAATGCTTTCTACATGTAGGTGCCAAAAGAATCTTAAGCAAACTCTGATATTGAACCTGTTCCATCCTAGTACCTCCACCTCTACTCAAACATCTCCAATAGTTCTCCATTGCTTTCCAGATAAACTCCAGGCATTCAACACCCTCAATTAGGGGGCCCTACACTGCCTTTCTGGCCTTGTCTTTAATTACTCGGCTATAATGCACCCTCTTTGCAGTCCCCATGTTTTTTCACCTCCATGATTCTTATTATTTTTTACTTTGAAAAACCAACACTCTTATTTCACCTGTCCAAATCATGCCATCCTTTAAGGCCAAGAGCAAATGCCATTTCTCTAGAAGAGATCATCTCTAAGAGATGCCATAGTAGATTTGCCAAAAATGTTTGTTGAATAGATCAGTGAAAGTGTGAATGAAAGAATAGTAAATAAAATAAAATTCTACCCTAAAGGATTGTGTTGATGCCTAGAGCATTCTTGTTGGAGCAAGAATTAAAATTGAATCATTAGAAGATTAGTGTGGAAATTGATCAGGTAGATAAAAATACAGGAAAGAATCTTTTCTTCGGCAAGAAGAATGGGTGGTTAGAGATGGGGAACTGAGCTAGAACCAGCACAGACGCTTCCCAGAAGGGCGCATTGTATGACAAGTGGATTGGTACCACTTAGGACTTGAGTTTTCTCCTGACCAATGGTTTTCAATGTGTGGTCTGCAGATCCCAAGGAGTTCCCAAGACCCTTTCAGGCAGTCTGCAAGGTCAAAACTATTTTCACAATAATACTAAGACATTATTTGCCTTTCTCACTATATTGAATTGTACTGTGATATAAAAATAATGGTGGATAAAATTGCTGATGCCTTAGCACCAATCAAGGCAGTGGCACCAAACTAAATTACAGTCACTGAATTCTTCACAAGGAGCCCCGGTGGCACAGTGGTTAAGCGTTTGGCTGCTAACTGAAAGGTTGGCAATTTGAACCCACCAGGCACTCTGCAGGGGAAAGACGTGGCAGTCTGCTTCCATAAAGATTTACAGCCTTGGAAACCCTATGAGACAGTTCTACTCTGTCCTATAGGGTTGCTATAAGTTGGAATTGACATGACAGCAAGCGGTATTCTTCACTGCTATACACTCACAGGGAGAAAAAACAGTTTCACTTAAGATTGTGCTTGATAAATAGTAAGAATTGTTTTTATTAACTCTCAGTCCTTGAATACATCTCAACCCTTTTTTAAATTCTGCAGGATGAAATGGGAAATGTGCATAAAGCACTTCTGCTGCACACCAAAGTATGATGGTTGCCTTGAGGAAAAGGACTTGTGTGACTGAGTTGTGAGGTGAAAAGCTGCTCTATATGGAACATCTTTTTTTTTTTGTTTTTTTCTTGAAAGAACAACTGATGGGCAAACTATAGTATTCAGAGTTGGGTATTCGGAAGACATTTTCTAGAAATTGAGTGAAGTGAGCCTATCACTTCAAGGAAAACAACTTACAGTATTTGTTGCTGTATCAAAAAAAAAAAAATTAAAATTTTCAAAATGTGAGCATCAATCAAATCCCACTTTTTTACTTCTCAGTTCAGCTCTAACACCAGCTGCCCATGCGGCACTGTCTCTCTGACCCTAGCCACAGGAGCTAGAGCAGCAAGTTTGGGAGTCCATGTGGCCAGCTGGCTACAAATTTGGAGTTTTCTTCTAACCCCTGTGGGATGCCAGTGCAAGCTTGGGAGTCTGTCCCCCCACCTCCCCACCCGCCACCACCAGGTTCCCTAACTTCTGATCTGCTGGCTCCTACTACTCCTTTGAGTTTGATCATTCACTGGAATGACTCATGGAATTCATGGAAGGTGCTATACTTATGGTTACAGCTTTGTTATAGCAAAAAGAATACAAATGAAGAGATGCATAGAGCAAGGTTTGGGAGGGTTCCCAGTGCCAAGCTTCCATGTCCCGAAGGAGACACTACCCTCGCATGTGCATCAATGTCTTTCACCAACCAGGAAGTCCATGGAGCTTCTGTGTCCAGAGCGTTCATTGGCTTCATAATGTAGTCATGACTGAAACCTCATTTCATAGGCACAATTGATTGAATCATGCACCACCACCACCACCACCACCCCCAGGTCAGCTGATATCATGCCATATAGTGGTCTTTCTGGCATGACCAGCTCCCACTCATTAGCACAAAACTCAGGTGTGGTTTAGATAACTAAGGCACCGGTATTACTCGGGAAATTCCAAGGGTTTAGTCTCTAAAGAGCCAAGGACAAAAGCCAAACTACTTGAGGTAAAGTAATTCTTTACCCCACAGTTACCAATGTGATAAAATTTGAATTTTGTTTTAGGGGAAAAAAATCACAAAGTTTAATAAAGCAAAAAGAAAGTTTTATTCGGCATATATTCAAAAAGACAAAAGTGGGAAACAGACAACCATGCTGCCAGAGCCATGTCTGCCCGAGTCCAAAGAAAGTTACAGAGCCATCAGTATATATTTACATTACAAATGGACAAAACCATTGAAAACTTTGCCTTTTCACAGATTGGCTAGAAACTGTGATCCTACATTTTGAATTGTGTTTCTTAACCATCATTGGTACAGCTTTCAGTAAAGACAGTCAGGAGGGTCTTCACTGGTCTAATGATTTTCTATTCACTAAATGCTAATAGAAAAAAGAGTGAAAAGTCTTTTGTGTTCTGTTCGATTGGCTTTATGTGAAAGGTTCTCTAAAAGATATTCTTCAAGATTATCTTAGCTATTGTCTTTATACCTCAGGGTCCAGTTATGAGTCATTGTGAGTCCTTGAGAGCCTAGCTCCAGCTGGGTCACATTCTCTATGCTCAAGGAGAGAGAATAAATGATTCCAATATTATTTCCTAAATCAACTTGCAAACAAAATTTAGAATTTAGGAACTCACTCCTATAAATATGACAACTTGCTAATTCTTAAAAACTTTCCTGTAGAGTTCAGTAGTGATATTAAAATAAGTGAGTTTTCAAGATTGCATAATGAAATATGTTAGCATTCAGAAGATATGCATAACTCAGTGAACCAATATTTTCCAAATGAAAAATGGATGATGTTACAAAATAATATATGGACAGAAGATCCAAGTTCAAGATAAACTAATAGATTTTAATGTCAGTTAGTTGAT